ACAGGAATCACCACATACTTACCAACATTAACACTGAATGTTAATGGACTTAACTCCCCCATCAAAAGACACAGTCTGGCAAATTGTTTTAAAAAGGAAGATCCAAAAATCTGTTCTTTACAAGAGACCCATCTCATTGACAGAAACAAACACTGGCTTACGGTGAAAGGCTGGAAGAAGATTTACCAAACCAATGGTCCCCAAAAACAGGCATGAGTAGCAATACTTATCTCAGACAAAGTAGACATCAAACTTACATTGATCAAATGAGATAAAGAAGGACACTCCATACTAATAAAAGGGGAAATACAGCAAAAGGAAATAACAATTATCAACCTATATGCACCCAATGTCAATACACCCAATTTCATCAAACATACACTGAAGGACCTAAAAGCATTTATACACTCCAACACAGTGGTAGTAGGAGACCTTAACACCCGCCATGACTAACTGATAGGTCATCCAAACAAAAAATCAACAAAGAAATTCTAGAACTAAATCACACCATAGATCAAATAGACTTAGCCGATGTCTACAGCATATTTCATCCAACTTTGCACAATATACATTCTTCTCAGCAGCCCATGGAACCTTCTCCAAAATTGATCATATCTTGGGGCACAAAGCAAGCCTCAGCCAATATAAGAACACAGAAATAATCCCATTCATTCTACCTCATCACAATGCATTAAAATTAGAACTCAACAACAAAAACAACAGTAGAAAACATGCAAACAACTGGAAGCTGAACAACACATTGCTCAATAATCAGTGGGTCATCGATGAAATAAAAGAGGAAATTAAAAGGTTCCTGGAAGTTCATGAAAATGAAAACACGACCTACCAGAACCTATGAGACACAGCAAAGGCAGTCCTAAGAGGAGAGTTTATAGCCATGAATGCATATATTGAAAGGACAGAAAGATCTCAAGTCAATGACCTAATACTACAGCTCAAACTCCTAGAAAAACAAGAACAAGCAAATCTCAAAACAAGCAGAAGGGAAAAAATCATAAAAATAGGGGCTGAAATTAATGGAATAAAACCAAAAAAAAAAAATACAAAGAATCAATGAAGAAAAAAGCTGGTTCTTTGAAAAAATAAACAAGATTGGCAAACCTGCCTAAAATGAGGAGAGAAAAAACCACCAGTAAAATCAGAAATGCAAAAAGGGAGATAACAACACACACCATGAAAATCCAGGGAATCATCAGAGACTACTTTGAGAACCTATATTCCAATAAATTTGAAAATCTTGAAGAAATGAGCAAATTTCTAGATACTTATGACCACCCAAAATTGAACCAAGAGGGTATTAATCACCTAAATAGATACACAAGACAAAATGAAATAGAAGCAGCAATAAAGAGTCTCCCAAAAAAGAAAAGTCCAGTATCTGATAGATTCTCAGCTGAATTCTATCAGACCTTTAAAGAAGAACTGATACCAACTCTCCTTAAACTTTTCCATGAAATACAAAGGGAAGAAACACTGTCTAACTCATTTTTTGAAGACAGCATTACACTCATCCCAAAAGCAGACAAATACACCTCCAAAAAGGAAAAGTATAGACCAATCTCCTTAATGAACATTGATGCAAAAATCCTCAACAAAATAATAGCAAACCAAATCAAACAACTATCAGAAAAAGATCATTCACCTGACCAAGTCGGCCGCATCCCAGGGATGCAGGAATAGTTCAACACACACCAATCTATAAATGTAATAAAGCACATTAACAGAAGCAAAGACAAAAACTACTTGATCATCTCAATAGATGCAGAAAAAGCCTTTGATAAGATCCAACACCACTTCATGATAAAACATCTAAGAAAACTAGGAATAGAAGGAATGTACCTCAACATTGTAAAGGCTATATATGACAAACCTATAGCCAACATCATACTTAGTGGAGAAAAACTGAAACCATTTCCCCTAAAATCAGGAACAAGACAAGGGTGTCCACTCTCCCCACTCCTATTCAACATAGTCCTGGAATTCCTAGCCAGAGCAACTGGTCAAGAAGAAGAAATAAAAGGAATACAAACAGGTTAAGAAATTGTCAAAATATCCCTATTTGCAGATGACATGATCCTATAACTTAAACATCCACAAAACTCTACCCAAAAACTCCTAGATACCATAAACCGCTACAGCAAGGTGGCAAGATACAAAATCAACTTACAAAAATCATTAGCTTTTCTATACACCAACAGTGAACAAATTGAGAAAGAATATATGGAAAGAATTCCATTTACAATAGCCTCAAAAAAATCAAATACCTAGGAGTAAATTTAACAAAGGAAGTGAATGATCTATACAAGGAGAACTACAAACCCCTTAAGAAAGAGATTGAGGAATATTACAGAAGGTGGAAAGATCTCCCATGCTCATCGATTGGTAGAATCAACAGAGTAAAAATGGCTATACTACCAAAAGCAATCTACATGTTTAACGCAATTCCCATCAAAATCCCAATGACATTCATCACAGAGACTGAAAAATCTATCTTAAAGTTCATTTGGATATACAAGAGACTGTGAATAGCCAAGGCAATACTCAGCAAAAAGAGCAATGCTGGAGGTAAACTACATTACAAAGCAATAGCAATAAAAACAGCATAGTACTGGCACAAAAACAGACATGAAAACCAGTGGAATAGAATAGAGGACCTGCATATAAATCCACACAGATAAGCACACCTTATTTTTGACAAAGGAGCCAAAAACATATGATGGAGAAAAGACAGCCTCTTCAACAAATGTTGCTAGGAAAAGTGGTTATCTGCCTACAAAAAACTGAAACTAATTCTGTGCCTATCACACTGTACTAGTATCAACGCAAAATGGATCAAGGACCTTCTTATCAGACATGAAACTCTGAAGTTAGTACAAAAGAGCAGGGAATACTCTGGAAGCAATAGGTATAGGCAAGGACTTCCTCAATAGAACCCTAGAAGCTCAGCAACTAAGAGAAAGGATGGAGAAATGAAAAAGTTTCTGCACAACAAAAGAAATGGTTTCTAAACTGAAGAGACCACCCACCCTGGGGGAGAAAACATTTGTCAGCTATACATCAGAAAAAGTACTGATAACCAGTATATACAGGGAGCTGAAAAAACTAAACTCTCCCAAAATCAATGAACCAATAAAGAAATGGACAACTGTTTCAAAAGAAGAAATTCAAATGGCCAAAAAACACATGAAAAAATGCTCACCATCTCCAGCCATAAAGGAAATGCAAATCAAAACCACACTAAGATTCCACTTCACCCCTGTTAGAATGGCTATCATCAAAAACACCACCAACAACAGGTGTGGGTGAGGATGTGGGAAAAGGAACCCTCGTACACTGGTCGGAATGCAAGTTAGTGCAACCACTCTGGAAAACAATATGGAGGCTTCTTAAAAAACAAAACATAGATCTGCCATATGATCCAGCAATCCCACTCCTAGGAATATACCTGAAGGAATGTGTTACTCCAGAGGCACCTGCACACCCTTGTTTATTGCACTGCTATTCACAACAGCCAAGTTATGGAAACAACCAAGATGCCCCACTACTGATGAATGGATCAAGAAAATGTGGTACTTGTACACAATGGAATTTTACTCAGTCATGAAGAAGAATGAAATCTTATCATTTGCAAGTAAATGGATGGAACTGGAGAACATCATCCTGAGTGATTTTAGCCAGTCTCCAAAGACCAAAAATGTATGTTCTCCCTCATATGTGGACTTCAGATCTAGTGCAAATGCAGCAATGTTGTTGGACTTGGGTCACACCCTAAGGGGAGAGCACATGCAGGAAGACTGGGGATAGGTAGGAAACCCAAAAGTTGAAAGTGTTTGATGTCCCCATTGCAGAGAAGCTAATATAGTAACCTTAAAGCAACAGAGGCCACGATGGGAAGGTGATGTGGAAGTAGTGAAGAGGTCTGGTAGAGATGAATCGATTTGGGTTATAATACACTTGTGCATGGAAGCAATGCTAGGAATCTCTCTGTATAGCTATCCTTATCTCAACTAGCAAAAACTCTATGTCTTTGTTATTATTGCTTATGTCTTCTGTTCCATAAAATTGGAGAAAGGGCAGAACAGGTTCTGCCTGGAAGCAAGGGGGTGGGGAGGAAAGAGAGGGGACTGGAGCGGGGGCGGGGGATGACCCAAACAATGTATGTACATATGAATATATGAATAAAGAGACAAAAAAGAGAGAAAAGTTGAAAAGGTCATAATTGAGACAAAAATAAATAAATAAATATCTGTTGCCCATTGGAATAAAATTATTTCTTCTATCTTCATTTTAATTTAAAATTTGTTTTGAATAAATTATTAAAAATCAAAGGTAAATCAGCTTATGATCTGAGTAGTTGGAAAGTTTAAAATATAACCAAAATTAAGAATGTCATAAATTAATTCATAGCAGTACTTAAAATAAAGGTTAAGATGTTGGAAATGGAAGAACTTTTTAATAATTAGCCAATAGCCCCAACCAAGGCAAAAGCTGTAGCTATGCAGAAGAATCACTTTCATTAACAAGTAATGGTAAAAGTCCGTGTGTGGAACGCTTTCCTTCCATCTAAGTAGATGTGTTGTGTTTTTCTCTCACATACCCAGTTTAAACATAATTTCTGACTTGTTTTCACTTGACCAGGCCACCACTAGTTTCCAGAGAAATCCAATCACTGCAAGATCCTGGTTGTAGAAGATAGATAGCATGTCTCTCTCGGAGGTGAAAAAATCATTCTGCATCAAAGCTACGATGACTAATATCTTCAGGCTCAGGAAGTTGATCTATTGTTGCTCTTGGATCAGGTTTTTGAGCTGATACTCAGGACAACTCAACATCATTAAAAGGCACTGACTGTTACCCATCTCTGCGTTAAAACCAACTTTAGTAAACATGGATGACTGCCACGTTAAGAACTGACACAATAGGTAAAAGGTCAAACCACAGGCTGTAGCCTCTATTTTACAGGTGCTAATTGTACTTACCCAAGATGTTGACATTATAGTTTTTCTCCGTTTTTCCAGCAACATTTCTTGCTTCACAAGTGTAACGACCAGTGTCTTGCACCTGAGCATCTTCAATCTGAAAGCAAAATGATTCACAGTTGGGGGGCTTCTATTAATGCTCTTTGTGATCTCTTATTTTTAGTTTTTTTCTGAAGATTTTCAAACATAAAAAAAAAAAGCAGAGCAAAATGTGAAATGAATTCCTACATACTCATCACCTAGATCCAACAGTGATCAAGACTCTAACAGTTTTCATCTATGTCATAACTTATTTTAACCTGGCTTATCCATGGTTGAAAACCTAGAAAGGCCTTTAAAATACAATTTAGATAAAACAACAACAACAAAAAATCAGCTAGGCTCTGGTGGAGCACACCTATAATCCTAGCTACTCAGGAGGCAGAGATCGGGAGGATCACAATTTGAAGCCAGCCCAGGCAAATACTTTAAGAGACCCTATGTTGAAAAAGTCATCACAAAGAAGGGGCTGTGGAGTGGCTCAAGCAGTAAGAGCACCTGCCTAGCAAGCATGAGGTTCAGAGTTCAAACCCCAGAGCTGCTACAAAAATAAATAAATAAATAAATAAAATAACAATGTCTGATAAAGTAATTTAGGGCTTTGAAAAGTTCAATCATTACATATCTAGTAAAATATTCAGCAAAATACACTTATTATTGCTTTATTACATATGCCTTTTCCTCATATGAGGGGACTTCTAAGCTTCTTTAAATCAAGAATTATTTTCAATTTAGTTCCCAGTTTGGTGTGTGGTAATTGATTATCAGTGAAAACAAAAACTCCATGTATTCATGTGCAATATGTATCAATACTCATTCATCAGTATTCATTCATTCACCATTCAGCAGTTATTAGGAGCCTTGCATTAGGTACTGCAAGCAGAAGATATAAATAAATACAATGACACATGCAGTTTCTGATTTGAGTGCACAATCTGGTTGAGAATATAAAGTGTGAACATAAAAAGAGTTTAATAATAAACAAGTAAAAGTAACAATACAAGATAATGCAGGAAATACCACAAATGATCTGTGACTTGTGGATAAATACGTCTGCAATCAGTAATTTCTAAAACATTCAGAAGAGGAAGAATCACTGGAGTTGGAGTGATCACTGAAAGTACTGTGCATAACAGGTGTTCAATAATTGAGGTGGACAGAACTGGAATTAGAAGAGAACCAAAGAATATTAGACCTGAAATGGAACTTCAAATCCAACCTCCTCATTTTAAAGATAAAGAAACTCATAATCAATCAAGGGATCTGCACTGCCAAAATTCAGATGCTTAGTGGTAGACCCAGTCAGATTGGGGGTTACAGGACTTCCAAGTCAGTAAGCACAGGCTTGCACACCTCAAAAAAAGAGTTGGGGTAGGGTGGGTAGAATACAGAGGAGGGATGAACATGTGTTTAGTGCCTAGTGTGTGCCAGGCAAAATAAAATATTAAGATTCTATTATGTGATCTGTTTAAAGCTGTGTGTGAATAATGTTGGGTAATGTATAGGTAAGATAGTTTTAATTGTTCAGTTAGGGTTCAGTTCTATAGGTTTCATTGAGTGGATATTCTCCATAGTCCCTTCAATGGAATGTGCAGAGCCCAGGGTGTGTGACCTGGATCCATTGTAGAGATCAATGGATTTCCCCCAACACACAAAGAAATGAACTTCTATAGTCACTGATATTTGTGTTCGTACAATTGTCTACCTCTGCATTCCAGTCAGAGCTGAGATCTTACCAGATGCGTTCTAGAACGCTGGGCTCTACCTCTGAGCATGGGGTAGTAATTTTTCTTCCTTGGTATTTTTCTTTTTTGCCTTTATATCTCAGTTTGCTTATCCCTCTTTTTTTCCTCAATGATTCTGTTCTTCCCTTTCTCATCAGTTCCATTAATACATGGTCATAAATGCCAAGATCTCCACCTTTTTCCTCTAACATACACCTGTATATTCCCTCCTACTCAGCCCCAGTGCTTCTGTCCTCCACAGGTAAGCTGCTCAGCTTACTGCCCTGCCCACAGGCTGACACGCATCATCCCCATCTCAAGATTCTCTGCTAAGAATAATCTTCCTCACCCAAGAGGTTATGTGAGGTTAGTAGTACGGATTCTGAAGCTAAAATCCCTGTGTTCAAATTCAATTTTTGCTAAAAATAACTAGGCCGATCACTTGGCTACCCTTCCAATTTCAGTGTTGGGTTATAAGTGTTCAGGCCTTTTGTCCTCCTGAATCTAATTCCTTAGCTTGGATTTCAATGCCAGTTTTAGTTCACTCAGATTCACAATGTCAACATTATTTCAAATACTCAGTTTGTGAAATTCTCTGTTTCAATTAAACTAACTTATTGCTTTCCTTAATCAGGACTTCAGTCCTATTTATGTTTAAAAAGTTAGCCAGTGTTCAACACTCTTCTGGCTAACCAGAACCTCACCTTTTACTCTCCCTCATAAAATATGTCGTCGGTTCTATCCACTTGATATCATCAATCCAAACTTACAGCACTTACTGCATTTTTGCACTGAACTGTTATTTTTTCAGAGATTTATGTGAAGTTGCAAGACATCAAGGATGAGAGATGCCTCATAATTTTTGCATCAGGCGAGTTTAACAGGAGAAACACCAAAACCATGTGCTTAGAAATAATACCTGGTGAAATGAACTGGTAGTCTTACCTTTAACACACTTTCATTTTCAGAGACAGTAAGGCCTGGTTTCTTCAGCAAAGGACGGCCATCCTTTAACCATGTCAGAGTAGGAGGGGGAACAGCATCACTTTGACATAGTAACGTGACAGCTTGGCTAATGACGACAGAGACGTTCTGTTCTTCTCCCATAATATTTGGTGGAACTAAGTGAAAGATAATTTTCCCAAATGGATAAAACAGGCCAGCACACTGTTTACCTTCATTAATCATCAAGATATATACTGAATAATGTTACTGGGTCTTTCAAGATAGAGGCTTACAATCATACTAGCATGCCCTCTTTGCATCCTGGGGTTCAGAACCGAGGGTTAGTAAGTCACTGATCAATACATTCCTGTTGAACACAAACAGTTCTCTCTAACTTCTCAGTTAAAGGACTTTTAGAACTGGAAGCTCTCACCAAGTATGCTAGATGTTATGGATTAAGATTTTCAAAGTAATAACTCACTTATGAAGTATTTTAGAAGTAATGATGAATTGAAAGCAAATATGCTTTCAATATTTATTTACATTTTTTGCAAAAGAAATAAATTTCATAGTTACAGAAGCAAAATAAAAAAAATAGATTTGGATGAGAACAAAGAGATCATTTAGTTCTATCTCATGGTGTAAAAAACGTAAAATGGGTGGAAGATGAAAGATAATAGCTCACACAAAATACATGACTAATTGATGGCAAACCTAGGAGAATTCTGACTTGTAGTTCCATGTTCTCTTTTGTTTTCCATGGTGCCTTGTAAACTTTCTACAAAATGAGGACCATGTGGGATAAGGAACACCATAAAGAGCAAACTAAATCAGCGGGCAGCTGTATAACATACCCACAATTACATAGAAAGAGGAAATGAGTTGAATTTTTAATGAGATTAAAATTAGAATTCCCTGGCTTTAAGGCTTGTCAGATGCTGAAATGTCTTCCTGAAGAAATTTAAAGACCCTCCTTCCACTGAGTGTATGGACAAGTAAATGGTCATTTGTCTTAGACGTTTCAGGTATAGCTCTATCAAAAATGAGGGTGGGCTGCATGACCAGATTGTGGATCACAATATATATGTGGAAAGAAGCTTTTCTGGTTTGTATATATAACAGTTCAGAAAAGTCTTGAAAACAAGACTTTTGTAAGAGGTGGAATTACTTTGGCCATTTCTTACTAACTCCTTTAACTACTCAGGACTGTAGAAAATTTACTTTATTTGGAAAGGGTTTTTGTTATTATTGTTTGGTTTTGGTTCTGGTTTCATAAGAAAGGCTATGATGCATTCAAATGAATCCTTAGGGGGTTTTCTAAATGTGGTGGTAGAAATAAAATTTTTGTGGCAAGGAATATTATTATAGTCTATTACTCATTGTTTCAGGCTCAATCCCCCAGCATGTGGTGAAATTACAATGAATGCAATAGGCTTTGACTAGCTGTATTATGTTTTTGTAACCATGAGGTTTCTCTGCTACTATATCTGCTTCAAAGGGAAGGGTTAGGAACCACAGGGCATGCTTGTGTGCTGTTTCTTGTTGAAAGGCTTGAGGTAAACCCACAGGAATGGAATCTGAAGGAAGAAATACCCTGCATAATGGCTGGAACAGATCAGCGGAGCATTTGTGCAAATTTGTGATGCTCCTTCTCCTAAATTTAACAGCACACATAGACATATGTCTCTCAGTAAAGTGAAAGTACTCTATGGGAACCAGAGATGGTGGGATTGCTTTTGATATGTGACACACTACATAAAAGATACATGACTAGTCTGTTCAAACTAAGCATAATAATGTCATCATGAAAACAGACACATTTACAAGCCTCATAACAGAAATCCCTAAATGGAATAGCCAATTTCACAACCTGGAGTAAAGTTTGGTCTTTGGGGATTAAAAAAACACCACAACCATGTAAAATACATTCATCTTAGGTTATTTGTAGAATTTACAAAAGAACATGATCTCCAGAAGTGAAAATTTGAAACAAGCCTACAATTCAGAATGCTAACTTATTTCTAAATGCTTTTTCTCCAATTGCTTTTCTTTACAGCTAAATGAGTTGGATAAAATTCAAAAGGAAGCAAGATTTTAAAAACTGAATGCAAAAATGAAAAAAATAAGTGTTTGTATAAGAAACATAAATTAAAGCAAATCCAATCAGAGTTGAGCACATATATTACTGAAAAAAACGTCTATTTTTTCTATCCTGTCACTCACTTCCAACTTTGCATTGTCTGAGAAGAGAAAAAGGTCCCCCTCTTTTGGTCCTTGGCTTCTTTACAGGTTATCCCCATGTTGCTTTGTGGTTAAGATAGGAAAGGATGTATTGTGAACTTATTTCTCATTCTTCACATTATACCTATGGAATTTAATTACCCAAATGAGAGTTGCCATAGGACCATCCTTGCGGAGAGTCTGAAGGATGTGAGATAGCTAAGAAAGTTCTTAGCAGAAATTTAACGAAAAGATACTACAGGAATACAAATCTTTAAAAACCTCAATTCTCTTGTTTCAGCATCTCAGAATATGGTAAAACATATTATGAATTTATGCCAGGAAGGAAGATTTGGAAGGGAGGATATATATCACAGTGAACTATTCGGAAGTGAGGTAACATTTAAAGAAGGCCTGCATTGAGTGTATCCTCCATATGACACCAAGAAAGGATCAGGTTCATTATTCTTCGAAAGAAGGAATGGAATGAAAACAAGGTACTTAATAAAGTTGGGAAGAATTCTGAATGCATTACCAGGTACACCAAGATGTAGAATGACAAGTATAATCAATGAATGGAGGCCGATGAGGTCCCAACTTTGTTCTGGGATACTTTTGTCAGTGATAGAAGCAGATGTCCCCTTCTGGACCATATGGCTACATTGCAGGTAGGAACAAGTAAACTTTGTTTGCCTAAATTTATGTCTACCTTAGCTTGCTTCTCCAATAGCCTTGGTTTCATAGGCATAGTACTGACCACAAAATATGCTGAGTGTAAATATAATCAAAGGTAATAAAAATTACTGCTTTGAGTAGAACAGATGACAAAGGCTGCTTGAACAGATATTTGCTTTAGTGAGAAGATTGTTTCTTCCAGTTGTAGAGTTGATATCCACAGTAATTTTCTTTAAGTATTCTATAAAACCAACACCCTACAGGCTGGATGTATACATTGTAACATAATAGAACTTCTGTAATGAGAGGGGAGGAATCAAGGTCAAATGTAAAGCAGAAAGAGAGTTTGATTTGAACTGTTCTTTCGATGTCGCTCTTTTGTCCTTGATTGTCAACAACTTCCCTTAACCTCCACAATGACCTTAGGACCCAAACACATCCATTTTGGAGCAGAAATAATACTAACATGTCTCACCATATACTCTGAGATTAATGTCCCTTTGTTTCTCCCCAGCAGCATTCACCGCCACGCAGGTGTATTTCCCTGTGTCACTTATTTGTGCACTGGTCAACACTAAAATGCGACCACCAGAGAGAACCTATCAACAAAAAGAAAGCAGTGTAACCACCATGCCCGTGATAGTGGTAGGGGTACTTTTCCTTATGTTCAAAGGCTGATCAACTGGCATTTTCCTCTGGGAGAGTTTCTGCATGGACAGTTTACAGTGGGCAACCATCAGGAAAAATCCTGTTCTCACCTTCTCAGTGGAAGAGTGTGAGTGACTACCACCAAACATGGTAAGAACCATTGAAAGCCAGGCTAATATATAACATCAAGTGCAGGTCAGATGTCATCTACTCAACACAGAGAGAGAGAGAAAGCCACAGGGGGACAAAAAGAAGTGGTAATATGAGGAATTAATTCTTCCAATTATTCTTGAAACAAACAGGTCAGAAGTTACAATCAACCACAAAGAAGTAGCCAAATAAACTAATTAGCTTCATTCATTGTCCTTTTTATCCCATGGATTTAGTGATTCCTCTAAATATTGACACTAACTGAGGGTCTTCAATGATCCCAAATTCTAAAAGATTGGATTTTTCAAAAACATTTGACGAATGGAGGCAGGTGTGCTGGTACATATCTGTGATTCCAGCAACTTGGGAGGCAGGGATTGGGGAGGATTGCAGTGTAAGGCCAGCCTGGATAAAAAGTAAGATCCTGTCTCTACCAACAAGCCACGCATGGTGATACATACTTGAAATCCCAGCAACAAGGGAGGCCTAGCTCGGCAGACCTCAGTCTGAGGCTGGCCCCAGGCAAAAAATGCCAGACCCCATTTGAAAAATAACTAAAACAAGTGCTGGGGGCGTGGTTCAAATGGTTGAGTGCCTGCCTAGCAGGCATGAGGCCCTGAGTTCAAACCCTAGTACTATAAAACACAGGCAAACAAACAATAACAACAACAAAAACAAAACTCTGAAAAATGTTAACTATGCTGTTTGCTAGGAAAATAAAATGTAACTTTAAATTAGATATGGGCATACATAAAAGATATTTGGGTTTGGTTCCAGACCACTGCAATAAAACAAATATCATAATAAAGCAAGTCAATAATTTTTTTGCAAATAAAAGTTACGTTTGGCGTGAGGGTGTGACCCAAGTGCCTGCCCAGCAGGCATGAGGTGCTGAGTTCAAACTCTATTACCACCACCACCACTAAAAAAAAAGTATGCTAATGCTATCCAATAAGTGTGGAATAGCATTAAGTCTAAAAACCAAGGCATATAAGTTAATTAAAAAGTATGTTATTGTTAAAAATGTTGATGATCATCTGAGCTGTTGAAAAAATAGCACTGAACAACTCATTCAATGCTGGGCTGGTATAAACCTTCAATTTGTTACAAAAAAAAAAAAAAAGAAAGAAAGCAATGTTACCAAAGGAAAACAAAAGGAACCAGAATACAACAAGGAATGCCTGCAGGTGTGCTTCTGTGTTGCTAACAATGAGTCAACATAATGCACTGAAATTTTTTCCTAAGACTCAAATTTCATTCCTTATGACATTCTCATAATCATTTCTCTAACTTTATTCTTTGGTGCTTTTTTTTCAGTAGTACATATGCTCTGTGTGTTTATCAGATTCATTATTATGTCCAGACATTTAAATATAAATTTTACCAGACAAGTCCTTTTTTGATGTGGATGGGTATTCCTTGTGGGAGGAGTAAAAAGGTGTCTCCTATCATGGCAGCAGGGAGAGAGGAACAGGGGTCTAAAGCAAATGGTAAAATTTAACCACTACATGGAAGGAAGCAAACCCTTAGAAATGCTGATCTGTTAATGATTTACTTAGAAACCCCACATGTGGGTATATTTTTTTCAAAATAACACTTGCTAATCCTTCTTCTCTAAATTTCTTAAACAGCATTACCTGTTTGTGCTTTCTGTGTTCAATATTCAGACGGAAGGTGTCAATAAACAAAAGAGAGTACCTGTATTCCATTAGTGAAGCTAGAGACAGGGCTCCCATCTTTCAGCCAAGTCAGACTCGGGGCCGGGATGCCTCTGGCCTCACATTCTAACCTCACCAGGTTATTAACCACCACTGCCACCATGTTACTGCTGCCAGAAATTGATGGGGGTACTGAAAAAATAAAATCAAAGTAAGGTATGTTACCAAGTTATGTCATCCTAAGATAATGCAAACTATATGTAATAGCCACAATACTGGGTTTTCACAGAGGACTTTTTGGTTATTTCTTTTGGTTAGGTTTTTTTCACATTTTATTTGCGACCTAATCATAGTCATCCTGTGAGGTACACTGGGCAATTATCAGTATCTTCAATTAACAGTTGTTCTGCTACTTTTGTATAAGAAATCAGGATTTTTTATTGCTGATTTGGGGTCTTATTGGCAGTACTGGGGTTAGAACTCAGGGCCTTGCACTTGCCAGGCAGGTGCTCCACCACGAGTGACACTCCCAACCCTTTTCACTTTAGCTATTTTTTCAGATGGGGGCTCTCAGTTTTGCTCAGGCCAGCTTTGGTCTTCGATCTTCACACCTATGCTTCCCATGTGGCTGGAGTGACAAGTGAGCATCACCAGACCTGCTTTGTGAAGACTGGGGTCTCAAACTTTTTTCCAGGCTGACTTTGAACTGCAATCCTCTCTATCTCTGCCTCCCACATAGCTGGGATTTTATAGGAATGAGTCATCATGCTCAGTTCAAGAAATGAGTTTTAATATCAGAGTGGATTTTTATTCCTTGATGGATTGTGTGGTGTGTGTGTGTGTGTGTGTCCATTGCATTTGTCATAATATTTTAACTACTACCTCACCTTAACAAGTCTTCTTAGAGATAATAACTTGGAAGCACTCCTTTAACTGATACCTATTCTGTTAGAATGTATTTATAAGCAGGGTTATTGTTGTTAGCTGACAAAAGTATCAATGACCATTTCAACAGTTCATCTAAAAACAAATTTCAAAAGCACACGAAAGTAGAGCATTTTAATATGCATCAGGAATAAGAAGGTACTTCAATTTTATAACAACAGGTCACTACATAATGATAACAATAACAGACTTGTTAAATATTTGCACCAGGATTTTGTAGAAGATGTTAGTCATTTTCCAACCCCAGGATGAATCTGGAAGACAGCACTTACCATGAATTTGAAGGCTATAAAATAATTCTGTCGCCCCAGCAGAGTTGATGGCCACACATTTATAGATGCCAGCGTCTGAGACCTGGGCACTTTCAATATCAATGATCTGACCGCGGTTCAGGAAGGTTATGCTGGAGGAACCCAAGAGTGGATGGCTGTCTTTGTACCAGGTGATCACTGAGAGTGGAAGGGGAGAAGATTCATGTAAGATTTTTCTTCTAAAATTCAATACACTATGTCAGATCTTAAGTAAAATTGTCACAACTGCTTTATTCTTATGCTTATCGCTTGAGTTTAGTTGGCTTAAATAAACATCTATTCAGGGGTAATTTTTAAGTCTATACAACTCCTGAAAATGAATTAACAAAAAGATATATTCCCTATTGTCTCTGATATATCAATATTATTTTCTCATAAGATTACAATGTATCCTATCTTTTTATTGTGTATTTGCTATTGAAAAGCTGACTATATTTCTAATCAAAATCCCATATCATACATACTATGGACTTCAAAAAATTTATTTGAAGTCCATATAAAAAATAATTTATTATTATTAATTCAGTGAGTAGTCTATTCATCATAAGAATGTACCGAACAAAGTGGTATTCACATTACAATGACTGTGACTTAGAGTCAATTTGGTTAAGCTTCATTAAGATACTTTAAAATAAATTAAAGACATATTTTCAATATACACGTATGTGATGATTAAGTTATTCACATATTTCAACATTAAGTGTACAAATAATTTCAACCCAAAGTAATAAAAAATAAAAAATGTCATCTATAATGATATTCTTATCAATATTTTACCCTTGAAAAGAATCCTGTGCTCTTTAGTAGTAATTGGTATATTATGCCCATAAACAGTACCAGTTATTCCCAGAAATCTCAAAATGATCATAATTTACAAAGTACCGAGGTAGACATACCAGGCAGAGGACTTCCAGCTGCCTTACACTCCAGCTGGATAGGGCTGTTCACCACCACAGTCTCATTCAGCACTTTCCCTGCATCCTCCAGGCTTGGGGGTTCTGCAAGAGATCCCAGCAGAAAATTATGTCATATGAGCTGGATACTCAAACTGAAATTGTTAGCATAATGGAAATTATCTTTTTTCTTTCTTCCTTTATTTCTTACATGGTGATATATTTGGAGTAAAATATAATATTAAGTAGAACTGAAGAATAGGATGAAAAATATATTAATATGTTTTTCAAAACATTTTTTTATCTGAGCTCACATAGGAAAATCCTTAGGATTGTTTAGTATAGTAAAAGACAGTTAACAGAATGTTTTGAAATTTCAGTTAATTAGACTGGTCTGCTAACAAATTACCTTTACTAATAAGTAATCTATTTGAACTCTTCCAGTGAAGAAGGAATCTGTATGTCCCAAAATATCCAACTTTATCTTAGACAACACTATCCTAAACCATTTTAGAAAATTAGAATAATTTGTGTATTTACTAGCAGGCTTTTTCCTTTTGATATATATTTAAAACAAAAAAGAAACACCACTTTCAATTTCAATGATTAATAATGCTGCTCTATTTTTTGCTGTATTTGGAAAAATATTAATTTGTGAAGTCAAAGGGATAACAACTTAGAACATCAGTGTGAGATGTTTCCGAAAGTATCTCAATGAGTGTGGGAAATGTATCAGGATGAGAAACTTACAAGTAAACTAAATGCTTCGTCTTATTTGATGATGATGTTGTAGATATAACTTAGCATCTGAAATTTGCCAAAAAAATACATTTATAATTTCAATGCATTGAACAGGAAAGCAAAAATTGTTAAAAAGCAAAGTCATTTCAAAAAATCTAAAACTTGTATGTTTCATTGTGTGCCTGAGAAATTAACTGTATAGTGCATTTTCAAAAGGATTAGAAAATAAAATTACCCATGTAGACTGCGAGTGTATATTTATTTGTACATATTTGTAGTTCCCGAAGAGAATGTGTCTGTTATTTTCAAATGCCAATGGAATATTTTCCAAAGTAGAGTATTAATCCACAAAACATCAGCTTAGTATTTTATAATCATATTTGATAAAGCTCTAGTTAAAAAGAATTGAAATCAGTAGCAAAAATATAAAGCTATCTACATGGAATTAAACCTCATTTATGATGAAATAGACATAAATGTATAGGCTGAGAAAAACATAAATTAGAATGAATTTGACTAATATCAAAACCAATGGGTGTCACCAGACAAGTAAAGTACTAAAAGGAACTCTTAAGCCCTAATTAACATGTTTTAAAAACTAAGAAATAATGAAATGTTCTTAGTCCTCAACCAAGAATCTAGAAAAAGACCAATACACTAAACCACAAGAGGCTAGGAATAAAGAAATAATAATAATAATAAAAGCATACAACAACCTCAAAGAAAACAAAAATAAGTATGAACAACAATAAAATTCAAAGTTGCTTTTGAAGTCTGTCCTCAAAGGCAAATGCCCTTGAGAGTCATGTCTTAGAACTCACTCTTCCTTCACTCCTACAACTTTTTTTGTAATCATCTAATTCCATGTATTAACCCCTCCTGCTTAAGCATCTAAAATGTTTCTGTTTTGTACACTGAGTTCTGATTACCAACACAGTATTAAGGGAAAAATAAGCCTTTAAATATGGTTACCTGACTTTTCCAACTACACAAAGGAAAAATAACTATCCCATACCACATTCCTTCAAAATAGTTATTTAAATACTTTCTAGAAGCCTTCTGACTAAAGTGCTCATTAAAGATTTTGACAGAAACAGCTGCTGCAATAAAACATTATGTGGGAATAAGAAATACAGGAGATGTGGAATGAGTTGGCTATTTCTCACTTTTACTAGAGAACTTTAAAAAAAAAAGACTGAATTTCAGCAAGAATGACAAAGTTAGGTCTTGGAAAATCTGTTTCTCCATTAAAGAAATAATAATACTGGAAAAAATATGAAAATCAACTTTTTCAAAACTGGAATTTAATCAAGGCTTGTAACAATCTAAGGCAAAAAAACCCAAAAACCCAAAACTAAAAACAAAAACGACAAACTTAAACCACCAAACAACATCATCAGCAAAAAACAGACAAACTTCATCAAGAAGGGTGAATTTTGTGGTATTTTAACTCAACCTCCTGCAATCACCTCTCTCCAGCTCATCCAAACTTGAAAACAAATAATTCCACACTCACAGTGAAAAAACAAACTTAGTAGATACTGGAAGATGCAGAATGTGTTTGGAGCTCATTAAAAGTATCAGACTGAAAGAACTGTCATTACTCCACCTGTCTGGCCTTTCCCTGGAAATCCTCATTTGGAAGATTTGCCTTTATTTATCTAGACTCAGAGTTGTCTCAGTACAAATAACCTCTTTGCAAAGGGTATTTTATAGTCTCTAAATACAGACTTTAGAGAATTTGCGTAGGGAATCCACTACACTAATTTCTGTTGCTTCTATAATAAATTACCTCAAACTAGTGGCTTAAACATTACAAATTTATCTTATAGTTGTATAGGTCATAAATCTCAGAAAGCCTCTATGGGTCAAAATCAGGGCCTCAGCAGAGTGTAATTCCTTTCGGGAGGTTCTAGAGGAGAACCTGTTTCCTTGCCTTTTCCGAATCCCATTTCCATCCCTTGGCTTGTGGTCCTGATACTCCATCTTTAAACCCAGTTACTTCTGTCTGGTATTCTACCTCCTTCTTCTACTTTTAATGATTATATTGACTTTATCCAGGTATGTAATCTTTCTACTTTAAGAAGATGGTTAACAATCTTTATACCAGTGGGAGGGTGCAGGAGATGGGGAAAGGGTGTGGGAGGGTGAATATGCTTCAAATACGGTGCACACATGTATGCAAATGGAAAAATAATACCTGTTCAAACTATTCCAGGAAGCGGGGCAGGGTGGGATGAAGGAGAATGATGGAGGGGGTGAATTCAAGTATGAAATATTGTCAGAACTTTTGTAAATATCACAATGTACCTGCAGTACAACAATGAAAAATAAATAAATAACCAAAAGTGCAACAAAGGCTCCACAGCACATTTGAGATGGAAGAAGAAATAATCAGTGACTTTGAAGATAAGCCAGTTCAGATTACTCAATTTCAGAAGTACAAAGAAAAAAGAATGAAAACGAGTGGACAGATCTTTTGAGAAACTGTGGGGTACCACCAACCATTATGGAGGTTCTAGACAAGAAGAGACAAAGGTTAGGAATATTTAAAGAAATAGGGTTAAGTCTTCCCCAATTCTGAAGAAAAACACTGCTTTTATATTTAAGAAACTTAACGAACTCCAAGTTGAAAAAAATAAAAGAAACCTATACCAACACATTATAATTGAATTGTTTCATTTTTTGTTGTTGTTGGCATTGGGGTTTGAACTCAGGGCCTCATGCTTGTGAGACAGGCACTCTATCACTTGAGCCACTCTACAAGAGAAAACCTTGAAAGCAGCAAGAAAGAAATGACTTGCAATGTGCAGGAATCCCAGTAAGTCCAACAGCTGATTTTTTTCATCAAAAAATACAGAGGCTGGAATGCAGTGGATAACATATTCAAGGTGCTGAAATAAAGTGACTGTCACCCAAGAATTCTGTATCCAGCATACCTAACCTTTAAAGATAAAGAAAAAATTAAGAATTTCCTTAAGAAAAAAAGGAATTTTGAAGTACAATAATACACATGAATAAATAAAAAACACGTATCGATTATAAACATATATGTATGTAACAAGAGAATCCCAATGTATATAGAACAAAGATTGACAAACTCAAAGGGAGAAAAAATTTAAAATTAAAATTTGGAGCCAGGTACCAGTAGCTCAAATCTGTAATTCTAGTACTTGGAAGGTTGAGATTGGGAGGATCACTTTGAGATCAAATACCAGATCCACCAAAAAGAAAAGAAGAATGAGGAGGGGGAGGAGGTGGAGGAGGGGAAGGAGGAGTAGGAGGAGGAGGAGGAGGGGGACAAGGAGGAGGATAGGAGCCTGTACTTCCATTTTGTGCATGAAAAGTAGGAAATGTTTCTCCCTCCCCCCATTTCTTCCCCCTTTTCTCCTCTTATACTACATTCATTTCCTAATATACTTTATTATTACTTTTACTACAAAAATAGTTGGAAACTTCAACATCCTACATTCAATAAATGATATAATAACTATATAAAAAATCAAAAAGAAAACAGCTCTATACATGCTATAAATCAATAGATGCACATAGAATACTGCGGTCAATAGCAGAAAACACATTCTTCTCAGGTACATGTAAAATATTCTCAGGGATAGACTGCATACAAGGCTATCAAACAACTCTTGATACTTTAAAGGGATTAGAATCTTGCAATGTATGTACCACAATGACAATGGAATGAAATTATGAATCAACAATAAAAGAAAATTTGGGAAATTCACAGATATGTGGCCATTAAGGAAAACATTCCTAAGTAACATAGTCAAAGAAGAAATCACATGAGATATTAGGTAATCATTTTCGATGAACATTAAAAAATGCCAAAATCTATGAGATGCACATAAAGCAGAACTTAGAGTGAAACTTGTTTTAAAAGATCTCAAATCAATTCACCTACCATCTATATTAAGAAAGCAGAAAAAAGAAGAATGATCTAAACCCAAAGCAAGCAGAAGAAGGAAGTACAAAAGATCAGTTTATAAATAAATTAAACAGAAGAGAAAAACATCAGAAAAAATTAACAAAACCAAAGCTGATTCTCTGAAAATATCAACAAAACAGAAGACTTTAACTAGATTGATCACGACAAAAGAAGACCACATTATAGCAATTAAGAATGTAAAGGACTGTAAGTGAAATCAAAACAAATTAGATAACCTACATAAAACACAAAAGTTCTTAGACAATCCACTGTAACTGGTTTATTTAGAAATAGAAAATCTGAATAAACATATAACAATAAAGAAATTGAATAACAAATCAAAACCTTCCTACCTAAATGCACATTGACAAACAGATGGTTGAAGAAAACCTGGTAGATATACACAATGAAATATCCTTCA